TTGATCACCAATGCACACAGAACTACGATGAATGAAACTTTCATCCTACAAATGATCACTACTTTTCTACACAAAACATTGAGGTTAAAGCAAATAGCTTGTCCGTTAATTCATAGAAGAAATTGCTCTGGCAATGAGTAAACACTCTTACCTATTATCAACTAATTTTAAATTATTCTAATTAGCATCTTCTTAGAGAATCATCTAGTTTTGTTGTCCTCAGCGTATCAAACTATGAAACACTCAAGAATAATTTTGATTCATTCACATCCAATTAATAAATACATTACAAGTACATTTACTTCCAGACTATATCCGATTATTTTGTTGAGAAAGTTCACATCACGTTCTGTGTATGATGTTATATCAATCGCTGTTACACGTTAACTCAACTATGCAAATAAACTAGACATATGCATTTAACTGTAAACCAAACGTACATTTTCCGTGTCGAATACTGACTGCATATAAGAGATTTGCTGGAAAACAACTGTGAAACGAGGTTGACAATACATATAGTTTTTATACAACTCATTCCATTTGTAAATTCTACCAAAGCAAGAACAAGAGATGTGTCAGAAAACCTGAATTCACAACATTTCGTGGTTTCCAGTCATCTGCTTACCCCTCGATATTATGACATCGGAACAGCCCTCACCTGCTTGATATCGGCCATTGTGTTGATGTCTCAAAGTACATCGAGATGAATAGTAAACAGAGAACGTTGAATCAACTGTAGTTACCCAAACAACTGACATAAGATCGTTAAAAGCAATTCCATCTACCTACAAATATTTGGTTGTCGATATTGCCTTTCTGTGAGTAACTCACACATAAATGCCTGTCACACAATTCTTCCTTTCGTGTCACGAAATATGAGACTATGATAGACAAAATCATCATTACCTGACGTTGTGGATGGATATATTTTACTGCTGATTAGGTCTGTGCTTGAATCGAATATTGATTAATATTGAACAGTCGAATGAAGTGGACCAAATTATTCAGGAAATTAAACGTCCATGATATGTCTGTCGTTTTTTATTGAAATTGGATTTCGTAAATTAAAAGAATTGAAAACGTTCTCACTATTCAGCATGTGAGTATTTAATTTTTCGAATATGCTCGTAAAGTCTTTCATTATTACTGCTATCATCATGTTTATCATTGTTATTTCTGCCAGCACTAACCTAGGTTTGTTCTTGTTGTTCTATTCAAACCCAAATATTCGTTTGGATATCACCTGATCAGTTTGAAGTGAAGTCAGTCTGTTTGTAGTCTGACATTCAGTTGAATTATTCACTCTCACACAGTAGCTTGTGATGTAGGAGAGATATGTTAGACAATTCAAAAACGTCTTCACTAACTACATGATATTGAGTGAGGCACTGTTCAGAGAAATGAAGTATGTGAAAATCGTTAAGTAGTGATCTTATCTTGTCGCATGTGACGTCAAACCAGTAAAATTTGAGGTAGTTGATTGATATTTTGCAAAGTGACTAATTACGGTACAGTTCTCAGATTTTGGTGAGATATTCTTTGATTTTGTGTTCAAACAGTTTTGGTTGTCCCCACTCGTGTTTTGTTCAGTACAAAGGTGCAAAAACCGAGCGTCCATTTGAACGAAATACAGTAGACAAAATATGAAGAAAGAAAACACAACGAACAATCGACGATCACCGATATGAAACTGAAATCACGCATCACTATCTCGTTGTCCATCTTCAACTAGCGCGAGAATCAATAGAGATGTTTCACAGATGTGAGGTTTAAACTTGACCATATCAATCTGAGAATATGTACAATCTTATGGATAGGTGAGTTATTAAGCATATAGTGGTCTATGAGAAAATAGAAGAGTTTTACAAAATTTTGAAACATAATCAGACTCACTGCATTTTAGGTCAATCGAAAGGATATGATGTTGCATTAAGAAATCTACATATACTCAAAATGTTCAATAATCTTCAAGTTTGTCCAGGATCAATATATAAATGAACGGGTATTTTCTCAACACATCAAAAGTTTCGAAATACCGTCAGTGGAGATGATTCGAAATCTAATCCTCAGAACTTTTCAACGAATTTTGTTCAGTATATGATCAGATGTGTATTAAGTGCATGTTCATCTGTCCTTTGATTCAACTCGTTAGCTTCACTCGTTAGAACTAGAATCCTGATCATTCAATATTTGTGAATTATTGTCACAATGAAAGTTACTGACGAATTGATGATTAGTGTCAGTGAATTGAGTATATTAAACTACCAAATGGCATTTTCGTTTGTTGACTCGGTTAAAGTACAACCAAGCATTCACAAATGATTTACTAATTGATATACTCACCATGGCAATCAGTCAATGGAGATCGCCTGTGTTAAGCTTTTCAGAATACCTTGTGAAAATGTACAGAAACAATCAGTTTGATGAACTGAATCAGACAAGTTAGACATATAACTCAATTGCCAAGAAGATGGTTTATAAGATGAAACTTATGAATTTGAAATTGTCAATAACAGAATTCCTAAAAACACAGTCTTCTCTAATATGACAACCAAAATAAATACACATTCTACCACACTGGGTCCTGCGTGTTGACCAATTATTTCAAATATTCTTGGCTTACCTTATATTATACGACGTAAAAACTATGATCAAAACGATTTGTCACGGTCGCAAAGACCAATATAATTGGCACATATGATTATCTCAAACAAAACGACCACTTAACTCATTTGAAATCGGATAGTAGATGGTAACAGTGTTTATTCATAACTGAAGCAAGACCTTCTATACATTGACAGGCAAACTACTTGTTTTAATTTCAGTTTGTTTTCAGGAAAGTAGTAGTAGTCATTTGTAAAGTGAAAATTTCTATCGTTTGTATAATGTGTGCGTAGTTAATCATCGATCATATGAATGCATAATTAGATAGCGACATTCCTCATTATAATTTAGATTCATATTATGCTCATCACACGTTATAAAATATCGTATTACTTGATTTATCAGATAGAACACGGTGATAGACAACAAGAAAGTACATTTATGGATATTTTTACAGAGGAGGACAACAAAGGTCAACAGAGTGACATTTGTTTAACGTCACACTCTCACATAATTTACACTTTTATTATCATTATAGTTAATTTAAGAAAAATATTTCTTGTGTGGAAACGCATATTAAATTAGAAGAACCGAAGTAGATAAGATGCCATTTTGTAATGTTCAAACGCATCATCGTGACTGAACCGTCAATCCACAGTGTTCATCCTAAACTATTTTATGAGGAAGAAAGGAGCACATATTGTGTTCAGGTCATCGAATACGGTTCATCGTGGGTAATATACAGGAGTTGAGTAATGTTGTCTTCTCAATGAGTTCGACCATACATATCAGCTGTCAAGCGCATTATGGTGTCGAATAAAGAAAAAATGTGCAAGAGTTAAGTGTTCACTCAATCAAGATAATGTAACATATATAAACAAATAATATTGTTCCCGTTTAGATTTGCAAACCAAAATATAGTAGACAAGATACAAGAAATTTGCACAACGAACGATCAATTATACCCATAATGGTGACTGAATCGTCAATCCAAAGTTCTCATTCTAAAGTGTCTCATAATGAAGAAGTAAGCACACCTAAATTCAATAAATATAAGGGTGACACTTCAATTTGATAAATCTGTGCGATTACTAATAATAATTGAGATTGTATGAAATCCATTGTCCGGAAATGTTTGTCGGATTACGTTCAGAACATCATCTGCTGTGAGTTTAGCACATGTTCTACTGACTCTTCATGATGTAGCATTGAATGAAATCCTCTTTGTTCTCCGAGCATCCAACTGTGCCTGCCCATATATCACAAAGTTATCAAGGATAATCAGACCCAGTGGAGTTTAGGTTGAGCGAAAGGACATGATGAGGCATTGAGAAATCTACATCTAGTCGAAAGATTCAATAAGCTTTAGGTGTATCAATGATAGATATATAAATGGATAGGTGACTGCACAATTTATCAGGAGTTTCAAATTGCTATTTCAAATTAATATTATGCGACATAAAAACTATCACCAAGACAATTTATCACAGTCGCACAGACCAATATAATTGGCACGTATGATTATCTCAAACAAAACGACCACTTAACTCATTTGAAATCGGATAGTAGATGGTGACAGTGTTTTCATTCATAACTGAAACAAGACCTTCCATACATCGACAGGCAAACTACTTGTTTTAATTTCAGTTTGTTTTCAGGAAAGTAGTAGTAATCATTTGTAAAGTGAAAATTTCTATCGTTTTTATAATGTGTGCGTAGTTAATCATCGATCATATGAATGCATAATTAGATAGCGACATTCCTCATTATAATTTAGATTCATATTATGCTCATCACACGTTATAAAATATCGTATTACTTGATTTATCAGATAGAACACGGTGATAGACAACAAGAAAGTACATTTATGGATATTTTTACAGTGGAGGACAACGAAGGTCAACAGAGTGACATTTGTTTAACGTCACACTCTCACATAATTTACACTTTTATTATCATTATAGTTAATTTAAGAAAAATATTTCTTGTGTGGAAACGCATATTAAATTAGAAGAACCGAAGTAGATAAGATGCCATTTTGTAATGTTCAAACGCATCATCGTGACTGAACCGTCAATCCACAGTGTTCATCCTAAACTATTTTATGAGGAAGAAAGGAGCACATATTGTGTTCAGGTCATCGAATACGGTTCATCGTGGGTAATATACAGGAGTTGAGTAATGTTGTCTTCTCAATGAGTTCGACCATACATTTCAGCTGTCAAGCGCATTATGGTGTCGAATAAAGAAAAAATGTGCAAGAGTTAAGTGTTCACTCAACCAAGATAATGTAACATATATAAACAAATAATATTGTTCCCGTTTAGATTTGCAAACCAAAATATAGTAGACAAGATACAAGAAATTTGCACAACGAACGATCAATTATACCCATAATGGTGACTGAATCGTCAATCCAAAGTTCTCATTCTAAAGTGTCTCATAATGAAGAAGTAAGCACACCTAAATTCAATAAATATAAGGGTGACACTTCAATTTGATAAATGTGTGCGATTACTGTTAGTAATTGAGATTGTATGAAATCCATTGTCCGAAAATGTTTGTCGGATTACGTTCAGAACATCATCTGCTGTGAGTTTAGCACATGTTCTACTGACTCTTCATGATGTAGAATTGAATGAAGTCCTCTCTGTACTCAGATCACTCAACTGTGCCAGGTTGAATTCCACTGGTTGTACTTCCATTCCAGCTGCATTCCATTGAGTCTCATTAATTTTCAAAGATTTGTGTTTCTCAGAACTATCTATTCATGTATCAACGGTTATGTAAAGTCGTCACAGAATACAGCTGTTTGGATCTCGCAAGGTACACAAAATATGTCAGATCTTGAATTTTGGTTTTATTGTCCTACATTACTTTATGGCGATTTTTGTATAACAATTACTTACTGCCCTGAACTTACGCTTGACAATATTGAGTTTAGAAAAACAGCTGTGGTTTACATGAGTAGTATAAAGCACATGTCACCGATTATTTCTTTTTGTTCTAAGTGGTTGAAATTAGTCAGAGCTGTAATCTGGCTTAGGAGGTTCATATAATTCCTGGTGGTACTTCGTTTACCGAGTCGTGAGGGATCCGTTCATTTAGGATGTTTAAAGGTCAAAGCGCTGGACATCGCCAAACGTAAAAGTATAATGATGGTTCAGAAATAGGTGGATGGAGAATTACTTAGTGAATTTAAATACAGCAGTAAAGTAGTTAGTCCTAATGATCCGAAGTGTTAATCACCTATATTGCTTGACGGGTTACTTCGTGTTTCAGGTCGACTAAGCTACTCAGATTTCCCAAATCCTTTTAACACCTAGTAATTCTGCCCATTCGACACTTAGTGACGGAAATGATAATTAGACATTGTCATAAAGAACAAGGATACATAGGAAGGCCATTGGAAAAAAGATATGGATATGTATTTACTTGTTTGCAAACATTGGCAGTACATATTGAACTGATGTATAGTTTGATTACTGATTCAGTTATAATGGCCTTACTACGTTTTATTGGAAGAAGAAGAAAACCTTCAGAGGTTTACAGTGGGTCAAGCTTTGTGGGTGCAGTTTCTGAGTTAAGGAGGTTTGTACATCACTTGAATCAGCAGAAGATAAATAATGAACTGTCAGCTAAGCATGCTCAATGACATTTTAGACCAACCTCAACCAGCAACAGGGGTGGAGTTTGAGAGAGAGTGACTAGGTCTATAACCCGACTGTTGTTGTTGATCACCAGAGAACAGACTTTAATTAAACAGGTAAAGCAGGTCTCCTTGAAACTTTGTTGTTATTAATGTGGGTAGGTCGAGTAGACCTACTGTTGTAAGTCCTACTAGTTCCTATAGTGTAACTTGTTATATAATGAACCATGACCGTTGGCATCATGGTAGCTTGTGTGATATGAAGGGATTTTGGGGGCCGATGTAAGATCCGTTTTGAATGTTTTGTGTGTTTGTGAAAATCCCTTCATGTATACACTTGCACTTTGTTCCTATTGATCCCCTTAGTTGTACATCGTTAGTTTTTGATTACATTTGAATTGTTAATATTTGTATTTTATTACAGTTTTATTCTTATTACGCCTTCACTTAGTTTTTGTGTTTCTTCCCGAACTGTATCTGTGTTGTTTTACTTGATACATGTTCTTGGCGGCAGCCATATTGGTTTACTCCTTCTTTTTTGTTTGATCTATCCAGTCAGGATAGAATAGCGTTCATTTGTCGTGACTGGTGAATTTCCAGCATCTTTTTTCAACTTCTTTATTTATTGTAATTTAGATTTGACTGATTAAACAGTTATTGGTTGAATAGCGGGGTGGTAATATTTGTTGAGGTAACGATTTACATTTAAATAATGACAAATTATAGAACTGATATTTACCCGATTACTTGTTTTGACTTTGACGGGCAAAGGCGCGTGTCCAATCTACGTCAGAGGCTACTCTAAAGTCCAAACCATAGTTTGAATACTACAATTACTACTACTTTCTCAAAACAAACTGAACTTAAGACAAGTATTTTGGCTGTCAATGCATAAAAGGTCTCTCTTCAGTTATGAATAAATATTGTTATCATGTATTTCATTTTATTGTCACATACCACTTATGTGTATATAAGTAGGCCACACCACACCTCTTCTTTACTCGATAACAAAATGTGTTTGATAATTGGAAAGCATGTTTGAACTGATTTAAAAGGCATCATTGCCGACGCCTGTATATCAGCCACGATGTACTGCATTCGTTTGACCTGAACACAATATCTGCTCCTTCATTTCTCATAGAATAGTTTAGGATGAGAACTGTGGATTGACGATTCAGTCCTCATTATGCTTTTGAATATTACAAAAAAGCATCACATGTACTTGAATTCTGCTAATCCAATATGCGTTCTCACGTAAGAGGTATTGATTATTTCGACTATATGTAGATTTCTTAATGCAACATCATATCCTTTCGGTCGCCCTTGACTTCAGTGAGTCTGATTATCTTTGATAAGTTTGTCGTTTTTCTCTAGAAACATGATACTTCCCGAGTATATTGGTTTCTGTGACTGGAAATGGTCATCTCGATGACAGTCTCAATACCGTATGATATTAGATATAGTTAGAGTGTATTCTAAGAATTTTAGTAACACACAGAACGCAGTGTCATGAATGAATATCGGATTTCGGTTATCCTGCTAAAGAAGATTGTAGTTCACATTTAGTCTGTGAATTTCTATTTGTGTCTTCAATATGCATTTTTTGCAGTGGATGACAGAAACCTTATGTAATAGACTTATCGAAAGATTAGCTTATAGCTTCCGAAATTATTTTGGTCGGAATTTCATACCCTCAGTACTTATCTCATAATTCAATATATATCCAGTGTTTTTGATATCGGAAACTCAACCAATGACAAGACGAATTGAGTGACATAAGCGATTCATTCCATCAACTTGATTCAGTACCATCTACACAGTAAATTAACACGTTCAATAATAATTTCCGCAATCTGCACATTGAATTCAAATAATTTGAACAATTTTCTTCCTGACTTGTTCTATGTAGTTCGTCAATACTGTTGATTTAGTATGACATTTATCTGAAACGACCAACCATTCGATATTTCTAATGGATCCTACGGTTACGGGAGAACTGGAGACATTTGGCTGAATAAAACTTTTATATTGTGTATCATTAAATTTACTGTGTTTTTTAGATGTACAATCCTTGTTAACTCCAATCTACGAATTTCAGAATATTCGGTTCATTTTCTATGTGTCTAATAAGAACATTTTTGTTCCTATTGTGATCTGAACACGTAGAAACAATCTGTGGTATATAGCAGTCAGGTAGAATAGCCAAAGCTTTGATCAGTGATTGAAATTTCAAAATATACGATGATGAAATCACCTGATGAAATTTCTTTAATGAAATCCGATTCAAGTGTCAAGGTATAAACCTTGACATCCAACCATACAGTTTGTGATATTTTTATTTTAACCAATCAAATCAAAACAATGCCACATTGACAGCTTTTTACCAGGTGAAATGCACCAAAATGTTAGTTCGTGAACACATCAGCATACATTTTGAACCACAAGTTAACCAACCACCTCTTCTTAAACACGGTGACTCACTGATTGTATCATAAGCATTTAAATTTAATTTAATGAGATACTATTGTTTTGTTCGTCTGAATCATTTCAGATACACCTTCGCATTTAATCTGTCGATGACACTTTATTTGATCATCGTATTGCTTAACGAATTCTTCGAATGTCAAGAAGTTGGATCACAGGAAAAAGTGTTCGTAATTCATGAAAATGGTTCACATCGATATGTATGTAATCAGTCAGTTTGTAATACACATACTCAGTCTTTTCGATTTGGTTATTTACAGAAAATTAGTCTTAATCACTCACATCCGGTTGTGAATGGCAGTTTCAACAAATTCACTGGTACTCAAGTGAGTTGACTACATTTATTAGCGAAAGTGCCTATCCATATGATTGCATCATTCTAGAGTTTCACACCGGAATTCCCGTTCAACTATTTTGATACTGAAGTCAAAAGATTTGATTTTTACTCTACTGGTACGTCAAAAATGTTTTCTGAACGTGAACATTTACTGTTACCTTCTTCACATTTCATTCCACAAATGAAAGTTAATTCAATTTCATCAATGAATAAGTTTTGTGCTTCTTGTAACATACGAAACCTTTAAAGATATCTTCTTTTGATCAACTTGTCAAAAATATTAGGCTTTACAACAAACGATATACAGTTTATGCAATTCATTATGGTGTCCAGTTCATTTCTAAATGTTTTTATTCACGTTTTCAACAAAGGTATAATAAGTGTATTCAAAGAAATATACTTCGGATTGATTATGGGTCACCGTTCATTGGATTACAATGCTGAATATGAGGTTTTGAATAGCAGTGAGTTCTTGCATTATTCAGTTATATTTTGTATCCCTTCTTTTTCTCATATTCATTTTGCGTAAATGATTCAGTGTGTTACTTGATTGATAAACGAAACTTAACCATTACACAGTGATTGTTCAATATATATGGTTGTCGTATCACAACATTTGTGTCCGACATGTTTTAATGAAAACGTTTGATAAAACAGAGATTTACCCAGTTATTGACTGATTTTAAATGATAAATCAGTTAATGTTATTGTTGAAGAGAAAATTACCTACTCTGTGGTCTATAAATACTAAAATGTAAAAGATTTTTCACTAACACACTAGTTCCTCATAGACTAAATGGATCTAACAGATCATATGCGCAACAATAAGCAATGTTGTGAGAGTAGTGAGTTTTGATTGTTAGACTCTATAAACTACCAAAGCATATTTGATCTAATCCAATACTTTTCTAGCACTTACTTGATTGACGGAAGTTTAATGTCTCTGAGTTTCTGTCAGCCGACCATTGAATATTAAACACTATCTTTGTAATCATATTTATATGGTTACGAACATCGAACTCAGGCACTTTGTGAACGAACTAATATGAACACATAGAATATCAAGTTTATATCGTTGTTTTGGTCAGTTATAAGAAATGATGATCAACAGAATCTCAACAAAAAGATTTTGCATGCGTTGTGTCTGTTAGAAATTAAATGTCTCTTACCCATGATAAAGGTCCTGGAACAAATATGATGGGAGCGAAAAAATCTTCTTCATCAATTTCATTGAAACCATCTTTGCATCGTCGAAATGAATCGAATCCTTGAAATTTCTTCGAATGAGATGATTATGCATTGAAGTTTATCGGTTCATTTAAATCTCAGAATGAAGATGTTAACATTCTTGTCATGGTACTCCGTGTCACAACGTACATTTAGTGAAAGAGAGATATTTGTTCACTATTCAGAAATCTAAACGTTTTCGTTTTGATTTTCATTGTTTCAGAGGAATTACTTGCTGCTAAGTGGTCTGTCAGAAGTGAAGAAAAGGATGGTACACGTAAGTGACCATTGAACGACTGTTTGGTTACATATGAAATCCACACCTATTTATGTTTACCCACTTGGATTGGTCACAGTTTATGAGACTCAAGTTTACAAAACAGACAAAGAATGAAGTATTTTTCAACTTTACTGAGAATTAAGAATAAAAATATATTTGATATCTACTCACTGTTTGATGTTGTTGATTAAGACTTGAAGAACATTTGAAATGAATTGAGGAAGAGCAGATGTGATGAGCGGTATATTGGTCAACATAAATGAATGAAGTCGTAATATAATTTCTCTAGTGAGATCAATTTGTAAACAAACACTCCATAACTAATCCCATTTGTAATTAGAGTCGATTGTTTAAAAACACGTTACAGAAAACATTGTGTACAAGTGAATATATCTTCGACAATCTAATTTTATTGATGAACTCGGTGACTTAATGTTTTTGATGGAGTTTCATTCTCTGAGCTCGATGGCTTTGTCGTGGAGCTTTCATCGTTCTTCTGAACGACATCATCAAGACAAACTTCAGGTAGAAGTGAAGTGTTCGAATTTTTCCTCATGCGTTTCGCAGCTTTTTCTTTACACCTGGTGCGTATTGACCCTAAATTTGTTATTGTTTACTTCTATGTTCTGGTAGTGTCTCTCATTGGTTCGATTTTTGTTCCTATATTTGTGCATAATTTTCCCGATTGGTTGATAAATTTGATCGATTTCACTGTGTTTGTTCATTGCTGGTTGACCTGAGTGTCTTTATCATTTCTAGAACAGAACAACAGTAGTACAACTTCAGAAACTATACATATTACATTTGTTTCTTGAAAGATTATTGCTCATTTTGTTCACATGACGTCTACTCGAATGTATCTATGACGAATTCAACTGAAGAATACATTTCAGATAACACAGTAAATATCTACTGAAATCTGATTTCTTTAGAGATAGACACATACAGTTTTTACATCTAACATTAACTTGTTTATTATCTTTTTCTGAATTTGTAAGTAACGATAGTCTTCTTATTGTAGAGGTTACGTCCAATGTAATTTGTCTGATATATCCAGACGGGAAGATATCTTTTCATTATGACAATGTGAGTTGTAGAATTGAATGAAAATATCATGTTGTTGCAAGTACTTTAGATGACTCTATTATTTTATTTGTATCAATAATGTTTAATGTAACAAGTTCCATTGAACACGATAGAAAGTGATCAAAAACACTTTCTTCAAGCACTTGTTAAAGATTGCAACCAATTGTTAGCGTGTTCGTTCTGAATAGTACCAGATAATGTATGTTGGAGTACATTGCGAAGAAACTGTAATATTCTGTCAGCATTTATTTCATTTTCTTACTATCGGCTATCATAGAAATCGTTGTAGAATATTTTGATTATAAGATGTTCGCAGTTATTCATAGTTACATTTCATTGATCCATGAAATATAAACAGTTCATCAAACCTGACTAAACTTGACTACTGTAGTGTTTCACAATATATATGCGGACTAGTTGAAGCATTCTTCTAAGGAAATGTAGACTAGCATTATACTTACTGTTAGTGTGTAAACATGTCTTTGACTAAGATAATCTGAATGATGATACGTTATTCTAATGTTTAAATGGTTCTGATATAAGAGGTTGTATGTTGGCAGATCTTGACTCGAACATCAAATTCTTCTTTTCAGGTTCCTAGAAAAATTGATGAAACGAAGTGGTTATCAAATATCTCCTATTTAAACCCGTCTTGAATAAGTAAGGGACAAATGTTTTCAACACTTTATTTTACTCACTGAATATTGTGAATTCAAGGTCAATCAAAAGTTCACACTCATAAATGATTGATCACTGGCTGGCAATAAATGTCATGTGTGTCGAGTCCTTCATAGTGCAGATCGAATACTTTCGACCAAGTTGCAATGTGACCACTAGGCTAGGTGATTCGACACTACAAGCACTATGTTGAGATATGGTGGTAATTGAATGTAACCAACAGGAAAAAGAAACACGGGTTTCGTGGCCCGGATAGCCCAGTCGTAACTCCTGTGACTGTGTGGCTGGGTGGCGATTTTAGAAATATCACGCATACGCTTGTCAGTCGAGGGAACGAGACAGGGAATTATGAATAACGACACATGGTACTGCAGTGAGAACTCAACGTAAAATGAAAGTGTGTATTGTGTGAGATTGGAATAAACGAATGGTACTTCGAACTGATATTTCCTTTACAAAATGCTCAACCATCATGCTTCACTGAAATATTCATGTGTTGATGAGACAAGAAGCTAAGTTTCTAGACGACAATCTAGTGTAGGCGGATAGGCGAGTACATTCTTTTACGATTAAATGTGAGAAAATGAACTAAATGTTTGGTCAAGTGGTATACATTTTTCGGACGACATTTATTTTTGAGTCTGTGAACATTGAAGATAATTGACACTTTTGTGATGTTTGCTTAAACCCTCTCATTGGTGCTTCGGACTGCGATTCATCAGTCTCCTTCAGATAAATGTGCATCATGTGCTGACTATCTTGAGTTTGCGTTAATTCAGAAACATTGCAAGCAAAGATGGATGGTGGCTGGCATCGAAATCAATTTTACTCCTGTTGATCAAGCGAAGCCATTTGTTAAACAATACTGAAATAAATGAAAAATTCGTCTCGTACCACAGGCCATTGTGTCTAAAATGAGTAGTTAAGTGTATTATGGTACGTCGTTGAAAGCGCAATTGGTGAGTACTCGTCTCAAAATAAACATAAAAAATTGATGTTCAGATACGTGCAGATGACAAGTCTTAAATAAGGCTAAACATGCGTCCTGATTACAATTTAAGCCACATTTCTCCTCTGACCTTTAAAATACTGTGTTGGCTATTGTAATTTGCATTATGAAAAAATGATTTCATATTTGAATGAGAGTTGTTGGAAGATGCCGGACAGCTATCTTTGTGAAATAATTTGAGAATTGGTCGATATGATGTTTTACTGACTGGTTGAAAATTGATCGATTTTGAAAATCGTAGCGATTTAAACTGTGACTGTTTGAGATTTTACATCATCACCGCTGTATCGTTTATCAGAATTGTTTTTAAGTTCTTATTATGAAAGCTTTTCAAATGGTGCAAACAACCTGTAACAAATAAACATGGTAAAATTGTAAGTCTGTTTTCTTTATTTTTTTTACTCAACACATGAAAGATTATGAATTTGTTGTTCCTGATGAATGGATAAAAAGTGGCATGTCGGTGGAGTTTGAATACATCGGGAGTATGTTGAAACTTATTTATTCAGTAATAATTATTTTCACACTTGAATACATCACTTTTGTTTCATCAAACTGAAAATTTCATTTATAACTGTATTCTACTATTAAATAACATGCAGTCATCTGTCTCAACGGACGTTACACTTACCGTTAATAAATACGTCAATTCATTGTTGAATCTTACAAATGATTGAGAGTCTATTTGGAACTAATATTGAAGTGTTTGATTAGATGAAATTCACTTAGAATCATAGTGATAAAATGAAAGAGGAGATTATATCAATCTGAGAGAATCGCTCAATGTTCCAGTGACCAAAAAGTGTTACTATTATCATCAAAGAATGTTGTTCGATCCGAATAATCTGGAACAATAACTGACAACACACAGAGAAGAATGCGGCCACACACTTTCACATATTTCATCATCGTAGGTCGATTGAAAAATTTACAAGAAAAATGTCATTGATGAGTGGAAAAACAGTGACATCCTTCGTTTGTTGTTCCAATCGGGCAACGTCATTGAACATGAATCTCCAGTCGAAGAACAACTGAATTTGCGATAAATGAAATATTCAGTGATCTACCAAATCACCATTGTACAGTTGATTTCTTGTTTCATGTCTTGTTATTAACTTACCTTGTATTCGATAACCTGAAATGAAATCGCATTATTCTTTTCACAGCCTATTGTCCAAAATACAATTCGAGTGAGGCATGCAACAACGCGTCAACATTGACTACAACCTGTATTTGGTGTGAAAGAACAAACACGTGCATGGTTATTACTGATAAGGATGCTCAGAGCTTGAAAGTGAATGATAGTCACGTTGAGGTTAGTACTTTCAAACCGGTCGAGAACCTCATGGAAACTACTGAACGGACTGATCAATATTCGGTGAGTATTTGCGTTTTGACAACTAATTCCAACTGTTTGTTTCATCCAGGACAGTAAACAGAACGAAACACTTCAGTGCTTATATGTCTTGATAACTTTGATCATCACCTCCTTTGTTTTATGCATCGGTTGTATTTTGGGGAGATGGTTGTATAAAAGAAGGAAAGGAAGGAATGATTCTCAGTAACGACTTGAAATGAGTCTCAAATCGCTTTGTAACGCGCTTTCATGATTTTGAACGACTGTTTATTTCACTTATTTTAATCAAAAACCTATCATATAATTTTTTCATTTTAATGTGTTTGACAATTTCATTATGTGACTATGTATATCCCTATTTTTGCTTACGTACTAAGTGATGTTATCTTGTTGACGAAATATCAAGCATGGTATGTAATGTTTGCCTGTTGGTTTTCATAAAATATAAACTGCAATTCTTCGCCGGAGTTTCACAAAAAATTTTTTTCAACTTAGTACTAATGTGTATATGTAATATTGTGATGGCTGAAATTAACACCGAGCCCTCTGTGAACATTGTTTAAATGTAATCCGTCGCAACATCTTATCAGTATATAATAAGCACTTCCATCATTCGTTACTTGTGTAATCGCTGTTCAGTGACTACCAAGTGACAAACTACCGTTAACTTGATCTTATAAAGACAGATTAAGATAACTATAGTGATAAGTTGTTAACCTAGAGAGTATAAAGTTAGCGGTTTTATTCAAAGCTCAGTCATTGAAAAGAGGAAAAATCAAAATGCTTACCAACCTACGCATTTAAACCCTTATGGAGGGAAGTAGGTCTCACACCAGAATTTATCACTGGACTATATACTAGGCAATTCTTCCCAGTTGCTATTCATAAGTTTCATGTTAATTTCCAATTCCCAATGTAGTATATTCTTTAGCATTTCTCTTCTACGTTTCCCTTCATGAATACAAGTAGGCGTTTTTCTCGTGATGCCGTTTGGTGATTTCAGCAGTACCTATCTTATTCCTAATTAACTCATAAGCTGGAAGGTGGTTTGTTCTCTCCCACATTTGGCGTTGCAAATGGTGTCCCACCAATGGATGTTGAGTATCTTTCATTAACAACTACTTATCAGTACTTGTACCTTCTTGATGATGGTTGTAGTAGTCCTCCAAATTTCAGTTCCGTACAGTGGAACTGTCCTGATCTTTGTATTGGAAATTCTGACTTTGATATTGGTTCACAGTTGTTTTGAATTCCATATGTTCCTCAATTGAAGGAATGCGGCTATTGCTTTTCCAATCCTTGCCTTTAAGTCTGCATTTGAGCCTCCTTGTTCATCGATGATACTACCCATAACGTTTTGTTGTGTTCGCTTTCTATGTGTTGAATTTGAGGACTTTGGTTTTCCATTTTTGTGTGTTGATGCCTACTGATGCAGAGGCTGTTGGTACACGAGTTGAATTCGTCTGCATTTGCTCGTGTGAAAGGGATAGGAGGGTCAAGATATCTGCAAAGTCCAGATCGTCTAATTGGTTATAAGTGGTCTATTGTGTCCTGTGTTTTCCGTCAAATGTCAAGGTCTTCGTAATACAGTAGACCATAACAAGTAAAAGGAAAGCGGACAGAAGACAGCCTTGTCTGTATCCAGTCTTTACATGGAAAGCATCTGTCAACTGTATGGAATGGTTCATAGCCAGATTTAATTTATTTGACATCCTGAATTTTTCGATCTTTGGTGGGGTGAAATCCATGGGAAGGCCTGTGTATGCTGTTTCGATGTGATTACACACTGAAACGTCCACAATCTATTTTCGACAAACAAGTGAACGTTTTTTTCTGAAATTTATCATTAGCTTCAATACTCCCTGTTCAGGTGCTTCTTATATTCATTTCTCTCAATGTCCATACTGTCGCAGTCATTATCTTGAATGGCACTGAGTAACATCTAATCTATCCAATCCAAAATGAGGACGATTATGCCATATCATTCGGATCAAAGGTGTTCTGTGTGAGTGTTCGACAATTTTGAGTATGAGTGTGTGTGCTAGAGAGTCTGTGAAATTCGCGCTAGGGACGAATAGAAAGTTTGTGATGCATGACGTCCACTTAGGTCTGCTTAAGTTTAGTTTTCTTATACTCTTCAAATTACTGATTCAAGGACAGTGTGATCCGGTCAATGTTTATGACTTGTCAAAATACTCATTGACCTATATTCTCGTTGAAATGAGCTACTGTAGTTTTGTTTTGTGTATCAATAGGATAGATTATACCCACCGACAGTGTTCCACTACTACTTTTTTCGCAGTTATGTCGGTGTAATCGCACGTTGGATCAGCTCAAATTCATCAATTTCAAAGCGTCTTCTGTGCGCTTACTTCCATGGAAACTGAACTCACCAGAAATGTTTGTATATATTGGTTAGAAATAAATGATGTTGTGGTGGACACTGTTCTTCATTAGCGAACTTGAAAGGATATTCATAAGAGTTTGAAGTGATTCTGTGTGAGGTGTCAAGTTGTAAACATTGAAATGATCAAACGAATGATGCGCATAAGAAGCGTGTTGGAAGAATTGAATAAAAACCGGGTAGTCAATAATAATGTGGCTGGAAATTTTGCGGTCAATTGATTGGTAATAATGACAATGTTACTCAAAAAATGTGTATAAATTGGTCTAACGTCCAGTTTGATTAAAGTTTATTGGTTTGGCATAACTTACGGCAAGATAAGATCACTACCCAACGATTTTCACATACTGCATTTCTCTGAGCGATTCCTCACCCAATATCAAGTAATTGGTGAAGACTTTTTTGAATTGTCTCTTCTTCGTCCCTCCTTATTTGCTCGGGTGTGAAATCGGTAGTGACTCCACACGATCTACACGAGGAGTTTGTTTTTACAAGGACAACGAAATTACAGAAATAATATTTCTTATGTTTGGTTGTTCATTTTACAGTCGTGTGATGTCACGTTGTTGAAAGTTGTTCACTTGTTGTATACAAAAATAATTTGTAAAACCACCTATTTAGAAATGATCTGCGAATAGATTACATGATGATTTTCAGAATTACTGTTTCAATACGTTTGTGGATTATTCTCATTGCCGATTGACATCTGTTATAGATTTTATGAAAAATATCGAATCTTAGGCACTCTTTTCATATAAGCTCACAATTATGAGGTAATGTGTAGTCGTAATCTTATATAACTGACCATTCATAATGCGTTTCGCAAAAATAGTCTGTTTTATGAAGCTGTCTATCTTCAATATTTACAAAGAAAAGTGTCTTAATGGTATTTTCAGTGATCATTACTTTCAAATTAGTTGTGCACTTGTGCAGAGAGTGGAATGATATCACCAGAGTATAAAATCAATGTGACCAGAAGTGCATTTTTATTTTTGTTAAGAATTTGACATCACATGATTGACTTTTAATTATATTCTCTTTTGTGCCAATGAAATTTGAATATCATATGATGACACGCACACTGAAAATAAAGAACGTATTCAAATCCTTAAATAAACATAAATGTCTGTTATGAGGCATAGACAATCAATGAGCTGACCATCGATTGAAGGTACGACTTGTTTTCTGAGTTATTCAGTTGAGCTACCAAAAACGCAATTTTCACGATTTTATCTGTGAATTATTCCACAATGCTTTTCATCAGCTCACCTACAAATTTATTTTCTATGTCACAGAGATGGCGAAAGTTTGCCTGAATATTGTTATCTGATTGTGCGAAAAAAAGAAAAGGCATAAGGAGTTGCTTAAACGTACAAGAACCATTTTTCTTTAATAAGAAAACAGTAATTTGTGCTGAAACTCAATTAAAAAGTGAGTGTATATTCAATCGGAGTGAGTTGGAATACAAAGTATATAAGTATCAAACGACCAAAAACCCCTAGATAACGTTTAAGATTGGATATCAGATCGTTTTTTTCAAAGTTTGAACAGAGTTTAGCGCATGAAGAACCGATGAATTTTGAACGGACAAACTAGGGTGTGAGTGGTCGAAATGTTCATATTGATTTGGAGCATACTTAGGATAGGTTTCGGCTCTTTGGAATTCAGCAGTAAATGCTGTTCAGCCTGTGAGCCGTTGTTTCATGTAATTGGTAAGGTGGGGAGTAAAGTTATGACCAGTTGTAGATTCGTCCGTCAGATGGATCGAATTGTTGTGTTTGGCCTGGTTTTTCAATTGTGTCTTTTAGTTGATTTTGACAGTGTTCATTCGACACGTCGCCTATCGACTGTACATGTGGATGGCCTGATAAATTTGTATAAAGACCAATTTGTTGACGTCTTCGAAAAATACATATACATATATGCATTTATTTATTATGTTTCAAAAAACTGGTTTATGACAGTTAAGCTTTATTTATCCTCAGTATTTAAATACAGGCGACATTCTGCCAACAGAATTTTCATATAGTTTATGATATTTTAGTAAATTGATTAAACTTTTATCACGTTACCATTGGAAAATTAACTTACGGGAACTCAAGAAAAATTTTATAACATATTTACTAAAAAAGTGAAACGATTTCAGAAGTAACACTGGAGCATTTCAATGAACCAAATACGTCTCGATGATAAGAGTTTTCAGACCGAATATAGAAGAGCATAGGAGAGCAAAAGTTCGCACGAATAAGCGTTTTTGCTTGTAGCCACTCATCCATTTTTCACATATGTGTAACATGTTTAGTGTAGTTCATTGATATTTGAGCCTTAGTTCAGGGACAAAAACGATTTTATTATGATTTTGATAATTGATGGTATAAGAAAATATTGACTTCACCATACAATGACAGTAGTTGAAGGGTAATCAACGGTTTCTGAACATCAATGATTAGTAAGGAATATGCATCTATTCATACATAGAGATATCTGCCAGGAATGTATTAATCACACTATTTTCTCTATTATCCCTCATGAATTCGGTGTGATTGATTGTGTGATGGTCATAAATTTGAAAATTTGGAACATAGACTAACAAAAGATTATAAGACTGGAAAGCGCTCTCGTAGTTCTGCGTATTTCAGTGCAAAATCAAGGAACGTAATGGTGAGCATATCTAGATATATTTTACTTCAAATTCAAATCAGACACCAAACAGTAATAAGCAAAAGAAATTATTGATTGTAAAAAGTACTCTAGTCGATTTAGAGAATTGATGACCAGAAGTGCAAAGTATTTAGGGTGTAATTGACAACAACAGTCTAAATAGAATTTCTCATAGGCCTCAGACGACACCGGCTATCGAGTTCATTTTCAAATATTGCTTTTGGACTAATGACATTTCCCAGAATTGTTCGCTGTGTGACACATATATGAATGTCTCTTGGTCAACAGAAATATCGTCAAAAAGTTTATAGTTCCGACACCGAAACGTCCTCCATGGTGATTTTCAAAGTAAAATTTGGGATAAAATAGTAAGAATAACGACAATATCATGTGTGCCAAAAATTGATTAAACTTGTGAATAATAAATGACACTTCGAAAATAGACTGAAACTTCCAGTTTTAGACCAGAATTTCAACGTCAGTTGATATTCATTGGTATACACCTAAAATAACGATTATTCTCTCGGAACCTCAGCAATGTCCAAATCAGTATGTGCAGAATATACACTAGATGAGTAAGTCCAAAACACATCATCAATTTAAAGACTTTTTAGTGGATTTACATAGCAAGACACTCGTCCGGCAACATAAACAAAGGAGGTGAGTGTTAAAATTGAAAAACGGTTTGAAAAGAGGCCACTACAGTATTAAAAAGCATCTATTAGTCGAGCTAGTCAGATTGTATCAAACCTAAAATCATGGTCATCAACAAATTTCCTTGGACTTTCAAAAATAACTACACATATGATTAACGATGTATTTTATTTTAAGTAGGTAAACGGTAATCATTGCAGACCACAAAAAATACAATTATCATGGCAAACCTTAAACACGTTGCTTTCGATGACGGCGCTCTTCATCACTTCCTGAAATATGTTTGAATAACAACTCAAACTGTAGTCGATTCTGTTTCAATAGATCACAGATTGTTTACTTCCGAATCTAAAGACAAACATCTTTTATATCAGCTTCACGGTATATGACAAAACATTGATGATGACGAAAAACATAATCAGCGATAATTTCGAGGTATATGTGCACCGCAAAACTGCAATTGAGAGTGCAACGCTAAAATTTTATCCATCCAAAGCATTTAACACACGTGGCAATCAGCATCTTAATTAGGACTTCTGAGTCCTATATGAAATGACGAAAACAACTCTGGTTCGGGCCCTGCCGCACTGCAGCCAATCATGGGTCACTACCGGCTTCACGCACGGTAAAGTAAGAGGGTAAATTTGTGGTTGGGTTACGTGTTACGTACTATATCCTTATATGCAATCTTTTTTTATATGTTATCATACCTGAATAACAGTTTCTATGAATCCGGTACTCATCTTGTTGTGCTAATGAGGTGTGACATCTTGTAGCAATACATATATGTGCCTGGCACCATGTTGTAGCTGAATGACTAACTGATTGCTATGTTCGTAAGGATTACAAATTCACTTTATCCGTGAACGGGACGAAAACTCAGTGACCAAATAACCAAATGAGCTAAGTGCTCTTACGTGTCCTGGCCTCGCTATATAGAAAGAAAATACCATGATCAACAGAAAGAACTGTATTCCACATGCAATCAGAAGCACGAACAGTGATGACAAGTACAACTCAAGCATACATATACAGCACAAAAATGTCTTTGGGATACGTAACAAAGTAGCATACTAAAAAATAAAATGAACCTATAACATGTAAGGTCTGCACAAGTGGGAAATTCGAAATGTGGGTAAGAATGGGTGCTTTTGGCGTGCAATCAATAAATTCAAAGTTCAGTCATAGGATTTCAAAAATAAGACATTTAAATCAATAGCGAAGATGATTCGCGTAGAATGACTGTTGAGTCACTGCAGTCAGACAGGAATGATCTGACGAACTGACCAACTTTGATGTCACACGTCACGGTAATCATCTATTTGAGATCACCCATTCGGTGTATCAAAGTACTAGAGCTGCTTTGACGACCGTTTAATCCAAAGGACATTATTTTGGAAATATATAAATAAGGACGAGCGCAGAGAAGATTTTGTGACCACCACCACATGGGCAAACGATTTGTTGACGGTTGTTTACTGTCCTTGACCTTGACGGGCATCGATGATCTGTTCAAAATTCACAATGTCAAATGCCGGGTCGTTTACTCAGGTCCAAGTGACATTTCACTGTCGCCACCGATATTTACCGAGTGAAACCAGCGGATCTAGCATCCTCAACACTTATTTATACCACGGTTGTCTTAAAAATCAAATAAACTTACAAACGAGCGCATAGAAAATGCGTGAAGCCATTTAAAATTATAGTTTCAAGCTCAACTTTACAATATCAGCCTGAAAGATAAAGATCTATGCATTAATGACATTTATTTTGCAAAGATCATAAACTATATATAAAAATGAGATAACCATTGTAGCTGAATAAATCGTCTTTCAAAATTATGTGTTGACCGCTTTACGACACACAAATATGTACATTGCATTCGGTTACATGAATTTTTTGAAATTTCTGCGTTCAGTGTTTATGCGGCTGTTATCCCTTATGTATGTTGAATGATCATTTGTTTCAGACAAACTTCGATTTTTACTAACCTCTACTTTAACCACAACTACCATGACTACTATGACTAATACTCATTTCAACATAACGCCTGTTAAATATAGTTTTCTCAACACTACGAATACTGATACGACAATCACAGAATGAACGGCTACTTAAGTTGGAACTACGCATACCAGTATCACAACCCATGCAATTACTATTAACATGACATTTATCTACACTAGAACAACTACAATGGTCAAAAGCAAAGTCGCTGATACTGTTAAAACAACTAGCACTACTGCTACGAATAATGATAGTAATGGTACTAATAATACCAGTTTTACTAATACAATCAATAGTTGTTCTATCATACCATACTCTTACAGTATTTATACTTTTACTACCAATACATACATTTCTACAAGTTTGTCAATAGAGCCTAATCTGAAACTCCTTCTACCATAGCTAAAATCGCTAATACGATTATTATTACTACCTAAAAATCTACAACTATTCACGAAAATACTGCCGTCATTATTATTTTTATTATTTAAACCGCAACTGCCGCCACGATGTTTCATTAATCTGTGATAGCTTAAGTTGGCAAGTTAAGAGTGGACCTCAAACAACTTAGTATATGTCACAACAGTAGAGCTCAAGTATTCATTCACTTCCCTGTTTCCTATTGATATTATATTTCTTTATTTCTGATATTGAATGTTGAAGCGCTTTGTGAGTTTGAGAAACAAATCTTCGGCTTAACTGCGACTGCCACATGATCTGAATAAAGATCTATTCGCTACTAGTCTGGTTTCTCGTATTGGTAGAACGAGTGTTACCTATAGGTAAGAAACTGATGAGCTGTGTCTAACACAAATTTACTTTCATTATTATTATTTTACTTAGCTGTAAAATAGACCTAATTATCCTCAACCAAAGTTTGATATATATATTTATACATAGTTCCATCTTATCAAAGAAAGTATTATCACATCTCTCAAGTTGATAGAAACGCTCCGAGTGAGAGCAGTAATATTTCAGGATAGACTTGCGGAATTTCCGAATATAACTAAAACGAACGCACAGCCTCACAAAAGCGGACTAAAATTAAGTCATACGATCAAAATCAAATGTGCAACTGTGTTTGCATGAAACAGGAAACAAGGAACTGATATACTCAAAATCGCGTGTGTTGAATTTGACTACATGCTACAACTGGGCATCATCCGTCTCACTGATAGTCAACCGGCATCCTTTTGCATATGCTGTCAAAAAATGTAGGCGATTGGCGACGTGTGAGGATAACGGATCCCACAAGCGTCAAATCGTACCAGATAGGAACCCAATACCTCATATCCGAAATTCCGCAAACGGTTTACAGGGCAGGGACGTATTTACTAAGGTTAAATTAGTCAGGGCATATCATAATATCGCAGTAGCTGATAAACATGTCTTAAGAAAGACAGGTACTACTACTCTTTCTGCGATGCTCGGACTTCTACGTATGCTATTTGGCCTGAGGAAGGCGGCACAAATATTTCAAAGATTCGTTTGTAACCTAACTCGAGATATGCCATTTGCACAGGTGTATATACATGTTTTGTTAATTGCAACACTTGGTTGACGATCACACGAACATCGTGTGCGAGCAGCGTTTAAACGGTGGGATGAAAATTGAATGAGAATACATCGAAGTAAGTGTGTTCTTGGTGTTCGAAATCTAGAATATCTCAGGCTCATAATAAGCTCAGAATGGTTAACGCCTATAAAAAAGAAGTGGACACCATCAAACAATACCACAAACCTAGTTCTCCAACACAAATAAGGGGTTTTCTAGGTCTAACTCTTTTTATTGCAGATTCATACCAGGCTGTGCACAACTAATGTGTCTGCGGATCACAAGACACTGACTAATGCGCTAAAAGCGAGAGTCGCTAAATACTCACCTCTAGAAATCTGACACCTAGACTGTACTTCATAGTTCGAAAGTGATATCCGACAGGTCACAAGTCAGGAAAACAGATAGCATATGCATAATCTCGATTAAAAATGAATGTCATGCAACAGATTACAGTAAATTTTGCGACATTGAAGGACGAACAAGGGTGGGACCAAGAATTACGAAATCTTTTCACAACAGAAAACTGTAGTCTCAAATTAGAGCAGTTACCATCGCCTAGTGACGGTATTCTGATTTAATGTGACACGAACAAGGTAATCCTATCACCTTTCGTCCCTAAAAGTATGCAGAAATTGATATTTAATAACTTTCATTCTTTGTCTTTTCCTGACGCAGATTCTTTGAATAAGCTGACCAATGCAAGAGATATATCGCTTATTTACAGAAAAATGCATACAAGTGAGTTTGAGACTAGTCGGCATGTCAACAGTCGAAAATCAATCGTCACACAGCTTCACCCATTAACGTTTTCTCACAACGAGATTCACGTTTCGCTCATGTTTATATTGACCTAGCATTCCCTTTACCTCGTTTGAATGACTTTATTTATCTGTTTGCATGTTTAGATCATTCGACATGATTCCTTACAGACACACCGATAGCAAACATCACAGGTGAAAGAGTGTCTGGGTTCTTCATGCAGTACTGGGTGACCATGTTTAGTACACCTTTAACGATCACGACGGACAGAGGAACACAATGCGAATGTGAACTACTTAATAACTTAGCTAAACGTCCATGCCTCAGTAGGATATGTTGCACTGAATATTGCACTCAAACTCCAATCAGTGGACAGTATTCCTGCCATAAGATGTGCTGAGAATACGAACAGCGGTCAAAATTATTGCAGTGTCCAGCAGTGGAACTAGCTGACGGAACGGCTCTGAGACTACCAAATGAATTTATTAACCGTAATACTAAAAGTAAAAACCTTGATTTAGAAAATTGAGTAGACCAACTTAGGGACAATATGTCCAAACTCTGATCAATTCATTCTCGCGAACAATCTGAAGCCATATATGTGCCCAAATATCTAAGCAATCGCACGCACGTCTGAAAAAGATGTGGCAAAATAAAAGCACCGCATAGCTCTCCATTTGAAGGTCCTTTCAAAGTTATCTCGAGGTATTCTTAAAATTTGGTGATAGAAAAACACGGAAACATCGACTTCGTTAGCATTGACAGGTTAAAACCAGCTCATCTACATCATGAACCACCAAATGAGTTGTAAGACCGTTTGCTTGACGAAACGATTACGGAATCGACATGCAAAAACGATCAATATTTGCAAGTGACTAGAAAGGTTAGATGGGCACAACCGATTATTCAGTCAATAATATCTACATTTTTGGCTGCAGCCTAAAGTTCATCCACATACTTCTTAGGTTCCTGTGTTTATTTAACTCAGAACTTGATTTGTTCTCACCGCTTCACCTATTTTATTTATTTACAAAAACTTCATCAAAAAATAATCCGAAACATTAAGATACTCACACTCCTCAGTTCTTTAATTTTTGATATAAGAGCGTTATATTCATTTTTTCAATGCAGAACACATCAGTTATTTATTCGTAAACAAACATCATGTGATATAAGGCAAGTGGTAAGTCACAGGAGAAGGTAGAAGCTTCGACTGAGTCGAGTGTTGTGAGCAAGCTTCGGCCGTCAAATTAACCATTTTCTTAGGTTTTGCTACTTATTATAGACAATGGGAAAGTTGGATGATGACATCGAATTCCTTCTATACGAACAGTTTCTATAAATTAGAATAATAAACCCTGGTGATAACGTTACTATTCAAAGGTAATCCAGGCTATTCTTACCGTTTTTTTTCCTTTCTGCGTTAATTCACTATGTATTTAGTACTTCTTCATTTATGTAGAATATACATTTCATACGAGCCACCCTCAAAACATTTTCTGGTATAAGATATGTTTAGTAGCTTTATACGACCAATACTAATATTCAGAAGTGGTGTTTTAGGTGAAGCATTTTAGATCAAACAATTAATTATATCCTAGCAAAGATTAAAATACGAGTAACATCTGAGACATACGATTAGACTAATATTATCTATATATTCTTGTGTTGTAACTATTCAGTAGATAGATTAAGTATATCTATATTTCGCTTGCTATAAGCTTCATTTTATTCGACAGATTATTATTGCCCGATTTACTATTCCGAAGGTTTGTTCAGTTTGTAGGCTACTGTCTACCACGTTCACACCTTAGTTTCATTGGTTTATTTCAGTTTTGTCTGTGATATTTTCAGTTTTTGGCTTTATTGAATGATAGTGTTATGAACCATCAAACATTTTGGACATGTTAAGCCATTCATAAACGGTTTCTAGATATCGCCTTAAGGCCTTGTTACGATTGGACAAGCACGTAATATGGTCGACTAAAGAGCTGAAATTAGGAACTAAATTAGACAATATCATGACTAAAAACTCTTTCCATAAATAGAGTTGCTTTCTCATAGTTACTTTTATACAAATACAGACCACAAGTTCTTACACACGGGAATCTAATGGCCATGCTTACGCTGAATCACCAAGTGTCAGTAGTACATACGAAATCCTGAAACATACCACTAGTATTATTTAAAAACCACATTTTATATAACTGAGCCATATATTTTTTTCTTGTTTGTCCTTTAACTGAAACCGACCCTACATGTGGCTTCTCTATTTAATTATGATCAATATAATAAAACAATTGCAGCTAATGCGGTGTGAAAATATAACTTGTTAGGGCACTTTGGCTCTTTACAGTTATCCTTCCCTCATTTCACAGCAAATAACAGCCAGCGAAAACGAAATTCACGTGAGTTTCATGAACGTAAACCTCAACTTTGCACACGCACACACACACGAACCTCTAACCTCCTGAATAATAAACCACAAACTAAACTAATAGACCACACCGACCAATAATGGACGTGACGGCAGCATTTTCCTACACTGATGAATTATTCATAATACTTGTGACTAATAAGACTTACACACTTGTAAAGTGCAGACCAACTGGATACCTTGATGACCTGAGGAAATGAAGTTTCAGTATATCATGCACATCAACATCAAGTGATCAAGTGGTGGCTGATTTTAAATAAAACGACATTCCATCCTTCCACTCCATCGTTTTTTTCTCCCTAACCGTATATTCTATTTTTCCGGGTTCGGGTGTAATCTTATGCCCTAGCAGTTACAATCCCGAATGTAAAAGGCGGTCATCATAGACTCAACCTCATAAGTTTGGTCGAGTTTGGTGAGGAGTTAAACTTCTATCAAATACGTACATTTAATAAATGCATTTTAAAAGAAACCTTTTCCGTTTTCATAACGTCTTGTACACAAGTTGTCTACAGTGTGTCTATTTCTTTCCAGATTATCAATACGTTCTAAAAGCCAAAAACGTACGTGGAACCCAACAATTATCAATTATATTCATGTTTTTCGTTTTCGTTCCTTAGCAGTTCATTCAGACAGTTGAGTAGTTCTTCAGGTTTGATTGGTTTTCGTTATGGCAGTTGAAGTAGATCCTTTTTAATTTTGAAATGAGGGTGACTCAAATGACTGGTGTGTGAACAACTGATAGCCGGACAATGCATGAGAAG